CTTTGCATCTATACCTGTGTGCTTCTCTCCATCCCATCCCACACTGACCCACAAAAGTCAGCAGTGTCCTAATTTTGTGTTCTTCATATGCTTCTTGTTCTGTATAGTTTAGCAAATGTCTATTTGCATTAACAGTATACTTAGTTTTGCTTCTTTTTGAACTTTTATCTGGGGGCGGTTACTGTATCATTTGTGTCATACCTGTATATTTTATATATTCTTTTGTATTTACTCAGTTTTTTGTTTTATTATTTTTAAGACAGAGTCTCATCTGTCACCCAAGCTGGAGTACAGTGGTGCAATCTCAGCTCACTGCAACCTCTGCCTCCCAGGTTCAAGTGATTCTCCTACCTCTGCCTCCCGAGTAGCTGGGACTACAGCTGCCCACCGTCATGCCTGGCTAATTTTTGTATTAAAGATGGGGTTTCACTGTGTTGGCCAGGCTGGTCTCAAACTCCTGACCTCAGGTGATCCACCCACCTCAGCCTCCCAAAGTGCTAGGATTACAGGCATGAGCCACCATGCCCAGCCTCAGTTAGTTAGTTTTAGTTTTTTTGAGATGAAGTTTCACTTGTGTTGCCCCGGCTGGAGTGCCGTGGTGCAATCTCAGCTCACTTCAACCTCCACTTCCCAGGTTCAAGCAATTCTCCTGCCTCACCCTCCCGAGTAGCTGGGATTAGAGGCATGTGACACCATACCTGGCTAATTTTTGTGTTCTTAGTAGAGATGGGGTTTCACCATGTAGGCCAGGCTGGTCTTGAGCTCCTGACCTCAAGATCGCCCACCTCGGCCTTGCAAAGTGTTGGGATTACAGGTGTAAGCCACTGGGCCCAGCCTGTATTCAATATTTAATAATAAAAGTAAACAAATGGAGCTCCCGAGGTGATTCTCAGATGGACTGGTATTTAGAAATCATGGCTGTAGTTTCTACTTCCCTAACATCTGTTATATCTTATCTCTATTTTCCACCCCACTGCTGTTCAGTTCTTGCCTTCTTTATTCACCTGAACCATTGCAGATAATCTCCTTGCATCTGTTCTCCATGCTGGCTGGTGCAGTGCTCTAACATGCACCTGCCCGCTTAAAATCTGCCAGTGACTTCCATTACCCAAATATAAAGTCCAGTGGTCTGGCCCTGCCTGCCCTTCCAGCTTTATCTTTTGCCACTCACTTCTCACACCTGAGCTGCCTTTCCTGAAGTTCCATCAAAACACTTGTCTTGGCCGGGCGCAGTGGCTCAAGCCTGTAATCCCAGCACTTTGGGAGGCCGAGGCGGGTGGATCACGAGGTCAAGAGATCGAGACCATCCTGGTCAACACGGTGAAACCCCATCTCTACTAAAAATACAAAAAAATCAGCTGGGCATGGTGGTGCGTGCCTGTAATCCCAGCTACTCGGGAGGCTGAGGCAGGAGAATTGCCTGAACCCAGGAGGCGGAGGTTGCGCCATTGCACTCCAGCCTGGGTAACATGAGCGAAACTCCGACTCAAAAAAAAAAAGCAAAAAAAAAACACTTGTCTTTCCGCCATCATTCATGTTGTTCCCTCTATTTGGAATGCTTTTTCTCTTTCACCCCTTGTCTATCTGGTGGACGTCGCTAATTAATCTTTCAGAACTGACCTGAAGGCTGTCCTCTGAACCCTTTCCTCATCCCTTCCTTCCTTTTCCTTCTCACATCTAGCGAGAGTACGCGGGGGGTTGTGTTTGTCAGCCTTCGAAGATGAATCAGAAAACAAGGACAGCATCTTGGTTTTTTTATCCTTAATGTCATATAAAACATAAAATGTGGCAGATAGGAAGCACTGAGTTAACCATTGAATGAATGCATGGAGACTCTAGCCAGGGTCCCTCACCTCAGCCCTACCTTCCTCTGCTTCTCAGGTCTTTCACAGAGACTATGAGCTCCCTGTGCCCTGGGAAGCCATGGCAGACCAAGCTGAGCAGTGCGGGACTCATCTATCTGCACTTCGGGCACAAGCTGCTGGCCCAGTTGCTGGGCACTAGTGAAGAGGACAGCGTGGTGGGCACCCTCTATGACAAGGTGAGGACGTGAGGACAGACATGCCCCCCACACGCATTTCCACCAGGCCGCCTGGGAGCAGTGCTCACACAGCACTCAGCACTGGACCTCGGGTCAGGGTTCCTGGACTGTGGCAGGCCCAGCACTCAACCTTTCCCTCAATCAGGCTCATGTCACAAGATGGTGATACCTCCCCTCCGTACGTCCTGGGGTGGTTGTGAGAAGTGGATGCTGTAATATATTGGAAAGGGCTTTGAAAACCATAAAGCAGCATGGCCCCATCTTTTTCTTGACACACAAACAGCAATTGTTCAGCACCTTTGGGTAAACACAGGGGAGGCTGCTTATGTTTGGAAGCAGATGGCTCAAGAGGTTCTGGCTGCTCTGAAGGTTGAGGGGAGCATATGTTAGGCACCACTGTAATCACTAGTGGTACAAAAATTGGGAAGCTCAGCTGGGAAGAGTTTTATTATGAAACTATCTTTGGATTCCACCAGTATCCCCTGCAAGCAGCTTCCTCCTCTTGGGGAAGGAACATGGAAGTCGGGCGCACAGTACTGAGGACACCTACTTGTTCACAAGTCAAAGCGCAGATTCACTCAGCTGGATTTCTTGCATATAGACTGTTGAGTTCAGTTCTCACTTTTATCTTGCCCATCTTCTGCCCTCTGTGACTATAGTTTTTGGAGTATCAAGATTTTAGACTGAGTCAGTTTTCCCTTCCACTGCTGAAGGATTTCTAAACGATTGACTAAAAATTTTTTTTTTTTTTTTTTTTTTTGAGACGGAGTTTCACTCATGTTACCCAGGCTGGAGTGCAATGGCGCGATCTTGGCTCACCGCAACCTCCGCCTCCTGGGTTCAGGCAATTCTCCTGCCTCAGCCTCCTGAGTTGCTGGGATTACAGGCACGCATCACCACGCCCAGCTAATTTTTTGTATTTTTAGTAGAGACGGGGTTTCACCATGTTGACCAGGATGGTCTCGATCTCTTGACCTCGTGATCCACCCGCCTCGGCCTCCCAAAGTGCTGGGATTACAGTATGAACATACTTTGAATCCTGTAAGACGTCACATAACTAGTAGGTAGCCTCAAGAACGTTTCCCTTGCTGCTGCTTTAGATGTATGAGAACTTTGTGGAAGAGGTGGATGCAGTGGACAATGGGATCTCCCAGTGGGCAGAAGGGGAGCCTCGATATGCAGTGACCACTACCCTGAGTGCACGAGTTGCTCGACTTAATCCTACCTGGAGCCAGCCCAATCAAGACACCGAGGTAATGGGGCTCCTGGGACCTGTGAGAACTGTGGCTGAGGGGAAATGGGAGCATTTGCTCCTCTTAAGTCCTAGCAAATTCCAAGTTTGGGCCAGCACTGGTTCTGATTCTCATCATTCCCAGGCAGGCTTCAAGCGTGCAATGAATCTGGTTCAAGAGGAGTTTCTGCAGAGATTAGATTTCTACCAACACAGCTGGCTGCCAGCCCGGGCCTTGGTGGAAGAGGCCCTTTCCCAGCGATTCCAGGTACAGGCCTGGGAGGAGGCATTGCAGCTTGGGGGTTACTGACTGCCAATAAACAAGAGCTCCTGCTTCTACTCTAAACCCTTTTTTTCCTCTCTGTTGCCCAGACTGGAGTACAGTGGAACACAATCTTGACTCACTGCAGCCTCAACCTCCTAGGCTCAAGCAATCCTCCCACTTCAGCCTCCTGAGTAGCTGGGACTACAGGCACATGCCACCTCACCCAGCTAGTTTTTGTATTTTTTGTAGAGACAGGGTCTCACTTTGTTGCCTAGGCTGGTCTTAAACTCCTGGGCTCAATTGATCCTCCCACCTCAGCCTCCCAAAGTGTCGTGACTGCAAGCGTGATCACCATGCCCGGCCTACCTTAAACCTTCTAGCTATGCTCTCCCTCTTCCAGGTGGACCCAAGTGGGGAGATTGTGGAACTGGCGAAAGGTGGATGTCCCTGGAAGGAGCATCTCTACCACCTGGAATCTGGGCTGTCCCCTCCAGTGGCCATCATCTTTGTTATCTACACTGACCAGGCTGGACATTGGCGAGTACAGTGTGTGCCCAAGGAGCTCCACTCATTCCAAAGCCGGTGAGGCCCTAGGGAACCACCCTGCAGACCTTCAGGCCTGTCTCAGCCTTGTTAAGAGAATGCTGCCAACTTTGACCTCTACTCTACTCCTTCTTTCTGCCCATTCGTAGGCTTCCCCTGCCAGAGCCATGGCGGGGTCTTCGGGACGAGGCCCTGGACCAGGTCAGTGGGATCCCTGGCTGCATCTTCGTCCATGCCAGCGGCTTCATTGGCGGTCACTGCACCCGAGAGGGTGCCTTGAGCATGGCCCGTGCCACCCTGGCCCAGCGCTCACACCTCCCACAAATCTCCTAGTCTAATAAAACCTTCCATCTCTGGCTGGGCGCGGTGGCTCATGCCTGTAATCCCAGCACTTTGGTAGGCCGAGGTGAGCGGATCACCTGAGGTCAGGAGTTTGAGACCAACCTGACCAACATGGAGAAACCGTTTCTACTAAAAATACAAAATTAGCTGGGCATGTGGTGGGCACCTGTAATCTCAGCTACTCGGGAGGCTAAGGCAGGAGAATCGCTTGAACCTGGGAGGCGGAGGTTGCAGTTAGCCAAGATCACCCCATTGCACTCCAACCTGGGGAACAAGAGTGAAACTCCATTTCAAAAAACAAAAACAAAACCTTCTGTCTCATACCCAGTCCTTGACTCATTCTTGCTCTATACCATTCTGGAAAGTGAAACAACTATTTGTGAGACCCTGTGCTAGATACTCTTTTCTTCACACTAACTTCTTAGCCTTGCTTTCCAAATCATTTGAAACTATATAGTTTCTAGAATTAAATTCATAACTGGCTAAAAAGTGACAGAACAGGGCCTTAACCCAAAGTCCATGCTTTCTTCCCTGACTATACTCCAGTGCAACTCCCTGGAAGACAGTCTGGTAACAGAGTGAAAAACAAAAGGAAAACTTTTATTAGAGGTGGGAATGTGGGGAGTGGGGCAGAACAGGTGGTGGCCCTGGGAGAGGATCCCAAGGAGCAGAGGTTGGGGCTGTCTCAGTAAAGAGGGGCAGGTCACGAATAGAGCCTCCACCCCCAGCGGGGGGTTCTTGGGCCCAGCCAAGCACTGGGCTGAAACGTGGAAACTGGGCATTGACGAAGTACAGTGGGATGTGGGCAATTCGGCCTGTGGACCAGCCCTGCAGAGCGGGGAAAGAAAAGGATCAGCCTGGGCCCAAAGAAGCGCCACCTGGCAGAGCCATACAGCAGCCAAGGCCCGGAAGCCCCAGCAGCCTGGCGCACTCACCACACTGAGCAGGGCCCCTTTGTTGAAGGAAGGATGGAAAGCGATGAGCTGAGGCTGGGCTCCTGGCTCCCCCTGGATAATGCCACTAAAAGAAAAGGTGAGCAGGCAACTGGAGGCGGAAGGGAGCTGCATGCAGTGAGATACGGGTTTTGTGCAGGAAGGGTGGTGAGGAGTCCAGACCTAAGGGCCCACGTGGCACTTACCAGGGAAGGAGCTCAAACACAGGGCTGTTTCGAGTACAGAAGAGGAGGATGACTGGTTTACCATCCTGTACCCTTGGGTTTCCTGTAAGAAATGGATCCAGGGATAGGGGAGGAACTCAAGGCAGAGTCCCAGGACAGGGGCAGAGGAGAACTGCAGGCCAGGGTATGGCCTCACTACTTTAACTGGGAAGATGGCTGTGGGCTAAGCCCTTCATCCTTGCCTCTTACCTTTCATGAGCACAGCCAGACGCTCCCCACTGGGGTCCCAGACCATGGAGTGAGCATCTCCCCCAAGCCTGTGTGTGAGGACAGGTTTGGCGAGTTTCAGTGTGTCCCTCCCACCTGCTTTTCACTGCCATTCTCTCAACCACTCAGCTTACCTCTCCTCACCATCTGGTGTCTGGATTGTTGTCTCGGACAGATCTGCCACAATTGTTGCTGACTTCGCACCTCCAACACGCCCCTTTCCCTCACCTGTGGATGGATAAGAGCAGAGGTTCTTGCAAGAAACAGGCCTCTCACTGGTCGGCTGCCAGCTCACCACAGGCATCGACACCTCTAAATCTCTTAAACTGCTATATTTCCCATTATCCCTCAGAGCTGCATCTTACCAAATGTTGCTGCCTCCCTCTGACCACCCCAAACACTGAAGTGTTGGCCTAACTCACCACAACGTTCTGGAAAAGACAGGGAGTAAATCAGTGGCTCTCCCAACACAGTGAACAGCAATCGGTTGCCATCTGGGCTCCAGCAGCCAGTCTGGGGTCAGGAAGCAAAAGGCAGGGGAAGCTATGTCTATAGTAGAACAGGACGGAAAGTAGAGGTGGCTGGGCTTGGGGGCATCGGGGGTCCATTGGAATCCTCTCCTCCCCAGCATCTGTGAATCACAGTCCCCTCTTACCTGACAGCGCCCTGATAGAGTAGGCCACCTCTCACAAGTCCACATCTGGGCCTCCCAGACTCTGAGCCAGAGAGAAGCCAATTACAGCTCAGGACCTCTGAAGTTCCAAAATTTGGACCTACCTCCCTTGACAGAGCTTCCAGGAGCTAAGTGCCTTTCTCTAGGTCCATGCCCCCCTCCATCCTTCTCCCACTCACCGAAAGACAGCTGAAGGAGTGGTAGCCAGGACTTTGCTGCCATCTGGGGACCAGAGCAGGTTAGTCACCCCACCTCCTCGAAACCAGGGAAGGGGAACACAGGTCTCTGTTGAGACATCCCATACCTAGGAGAGTGGGGCAGTAGAGAAAACTCAAGCACCCTGTCATCTCGTAGTGGGCTGTCCTCTCTAACGTCCAAAAAGCCAGAAAGGAGAGGAACCAAGAGAGGGACTGCGAAACAGGAGGCACGGGTTCATGCTGACAATTACAGAGGGTGGAGTTTTAATCCTAATGAGACTGATGGCAAAGCTCCTCCCTGGGTAAGTTTAAGACTGAATGGACCAGGGTCCCTCCTCCTTCCCCCATGATGTTTCCACCACTGAGTGAGAAACACTTTCGCCAGGACTGAAACAAGCATGAGGGACAGGGACGCACTCACCCGGATAGCAGCATCCACGGGTGAAGCTGAGAGCAGCCGCCCTCCACTGGGGGCCCAGGCCAAGCTGGTGACAGGTGTGTGCCCAGGGTGAGACAGCACTTGGGCACAGCCAGAAGAGGGTCTGGGGGAAATACAGAGGGTATGGAGTCAGAAGATGACAAGAAGCTAGCCCCTAACTTCTATTTCTTTGCCTCCTGCTAAAACCTCCCTATCCTGATGTTCTGCTCTGAGCTCAAATCCAGGTTAGGGAAAAGGAATAAGGATTGTGGAAGTTAAAAAAACAGCAAAGAAAAAAAGGGCCAAGTCACCATGAGCAGGTCAACAGAGAAGAGGTGATCTGCAAGGTCTTGAGTCCCGGGTGAAAGGGAATGCTTTCACTACAGGCCATGAGGAGGTAAAACCTAACCAGTAACCTAGAAGGTGTGCCCTGGGGTGATGTCAGGCCCCACCCTAGAACACAGCTCCCACTGCAGGCCATCCAGCCTGGCCATCCATCCATCCAAGGATAATTTATGACATTACTTCAAGGTTCCAACCTTTCCTCTCCAGAGTTATCTAAGGCTCCTCAGAACACACCCCTCCTTTATCAGAGCTCCTCCCACCTCTGTACTCCTGCACTGTTTGCTGCTCATCACAAAGATGCTGCCTGTGGCTTGGCCTCCATCACTGAAAGGGAACTACCTGAGGGCACCTGCCATGTGTCTGCAGCTGTGGATTTCCAGAGCCATGTGCCTGGCCTGACAGATGAAGGCTACTACCTGAATTAATGCCACCTTCACCTCTTTCCACCTAACTATAACCACTTTCAGCTCCAGTGAAGGCTTAGTTACGGATATACAACTTAATTCTATTGAACTTGACAATAAATCACAGCTGCCTTTGCAGGTCAGTTCAGATTCATCTCATTCTTTTCAGTGGCTCCACTGTATACCACTCAATAGATGAACTATAATTTATTCAGTCATGCCTCTACAAATGGACATTTGACTTGTCTGTAAGTTTTTATTATACATAATGCTATAAAAAATATTTCCTGGCCTGCTTTACAAGAGCTTCTGAAAGAACCACTACACATAGAAAGGAACAACCAGTATCAGCCTTTCTAAAAAATACCAAAAAATAAAGAGCATCAACATAATTAAGAACTTATATAAACTAATGGGCAAAACAGCCAGCTAACATTAAATGGCAGTATTAAACTCACATATATTATTATTAACTCTAAATTTAAATCGACTAAATCCTCCAATCCAAAGACACAGTCAGGCAAAAAAAGCCAAGACCCATTGGTATGCTACATCCAGACCCATCTCACATGCAAGGATACACAAAGGCTCAAAACAAAGGGATGGAGAAAGATTTACCAACCAAATGGAGAGCAAAAATAAATAAATAAATAGAAAGCAGGAGTTGCAATTTTTGCTGATAAAATAGACTTTAAAGCAACAAAGATCAAAAGAAGCAAAGAAGGATATTACATAATGATAAAAGGATCAATGTAACAAGAAGAGCTAAAGATCCTAAATATATACGCACCCAATACAGGAATACCCAGATATATAAGACTTATAAAGAGACTTAGACTCCCACACAATAATAGTGGGAGACTTCAACATCAATATTAGACAAATCAATGAGACAGAAAGTTAATATTGATATCCAGGACTTGAACTCAGATCTGGAACAAGTAGACTTAATTAACAATTATAGAACTCTCCACTTTAAATACACAAAATATACACTCTTATCAGTACCACATCACACCTATTTACAGGTTTAAATCAAATATTGGTTGGCTGCTTGTTAGTTATTTTCTTCCCTCATTTTTTTTTTTCATGTCTGTATTATTAAACACAATTATAGGCATACCCATATTTAGACTGCATTTTAGCCCGGGCAATAAAGCAACACCCCTGTTCTATCTCCCTCTTCCTCTTCCTTCCTCTCATTCTTTTTTTTTTTTTTTTTTAACTCTTTTTCTTTCTTCTTGAAATAAATAAATAAATAAATATTTCCAGGCCGGGCACGGTGCCTCATACCTGTAATCCCAGCACTTTGGGAAGCTGAGGCAGGTGGATCAGGAGGTCAAGAGATCGACTATCCTGGCCAACATGGTGAAACCCCATCTCTACTAAAAATACAAAAATTAGTTGGGCGTGGTGGTGCACGCCTGTAGTCCCAGCTACTCGGAGGCTGAGGCAGAATTGCTTGAACCTGGGAGGCGGAAGTCACAGTGAGCCAAGATCATGCCATTGCACTCCAGCCTGGTGCCAGAGTAAGACTCTGTCTCAAAAAAAAAATATATATATATATACATATATGTATATTTATAAATATATATTAAAACATATAAACATATGTAAATATAAAAATATATTTTTATATATTAAAATATTTATATATAAATATATATATATATTTCCTGGGCTGGGCACACTCCAAGCTGGAGTGCAGTAGCACAATCACAGCACACTGTAGCCTCAAACTCCTGAGGCTCCTGCCTCAGCCTCAGCCTCTCAAGTAGCTAGGACTACAGGAGTACACCCCAACCCCAGCTAGTTTTTTTATTTTTTGTATAGACAGTGTCTGTGTTGCCCAAGCTAGTCTCAAACTCCTAGACTCAAGCAATCCATCTGCCTCAGCCTCCCAAAGTGCTGGGATTACAGGCATGAGCCATCACGCCTGGCCTTATTTATTGTTTTTTTTAATTTTTTGGAAATTGAGTTTTGCTCGTCGCCCAGGCTAGAATGCAATGGCCCAATCTCTAATCTCTAATCTCTTTGGGAGGCTGAGGTGGGCAGATCACTTGAGGTCAGGAGTTTGAGACCAGCCTGGCCAACATGGTGAAACCCCGTCTCTACTAAAAATGCAAAAATTAGCTGGGCACAGTGGTGGGCACCTGTAATGCCAGCTACTTGGGAAGCTAAGGCAGGAGAATCGCTTGAACCTAGAAGGTGGAGGATGCAGTGAGCCAAGATTGCGCCACTGCACTCCGGCCCAGGTGACGGAGCAAGACTATGTCTCAAAATATAAATAAATAAATAAAGCAAAACCTATTATCATGTACTTTTTTTTCTTATATTACCTATTGTCAAGGTTTAGGTATTAGGGTTACATTAACTTTATAAAAATAAATCAGGAAGGATCCTGCAACAGAAAGAGGGAGGACATTAACAAGAAAACAGGTGAAATGTGAATAAAATTTGTAGTTAATAATAATGAACAAATATAACAACCATTGGCTTCTTAGTTTTGACAAATCTAACATGGTTAATATAAGATGTTAACAATGGGGGAAACTGCATGAAGGGTATGCCAAAAGTCTCTGTACTATCTTTGCAACTTTTCTACAAATCTAAAATTCTGCCAAAATAAAAAGTTTATTGAAGTTTTTTTTTTTAAATCAGAAGGCTTTCCAAATTTCCTATAATCTGGAATAAGTAACATAGAGACTACCTTTTTTTGAGACAAGGTCTCACTCTGTTAGAGATCATGGCTCACTGAAGCCTTGACCTTCTAAGCTCAGGCAATCCTCCTGCCTCAGCCTCCTGCGGTGCTGGGACCACATGCTTGCACCACCACACCTGGCTAATTTTTAAAATTTTTTTTAGAGATGGGGGGGTCTCACTAAGTTGCCAAGGCTTCTCTCAAACCCCTGGGCTCATGTGATCCTCCCACCTCAGCCTCCCAAAGTGATAAGATTACAGGTGTTGGCCACTGCACCCAACCTAAGACTATCCTTTTGAAAATTAGATATAACCCTCGTAAAACCATCTCAGCCTGGTGTCTGTTTTAGTGGTAGAACTCATCATTTTCTTCTACAATCCACTTTGGTAACTTATATTTTGCTAGAAAATCAAAGATTTCCTTCAGATTTTCAAATTTGTTGGCCTAAACATGTCCATAATATTCTTTTATAATTCTTCTGTTTTCTACCATATCTATGGTTATCTCTTTCCACTTCTGAAAATAGTATACTTTGGTTTTCTCTTTCTCCTTAATTAGGCTGGCCAAAAAGTTTTCTTTTTTACACACACACACACACACACACACACACACACAATAATTATTATTATTTTTTTTTTGACAGTCTTGCTCAGTTGCCCAGGCTGGATCACAGTGGTGTGATCTCAGCTCACTGCAACCCCCACCTATACCTCCCGCGTTTCAAGTCAGTCTCCTGCCTCAGCCTCCTGAGTAGCTGAGACTACAGATGCATACCACCAATTTTTGGGTTTTTCGGTTTTTTGGTTTTTTTTTGAGACAGGGTCTTGCTCTGTCCCCCAGGCTGGAGTGCAGCTGCAGTGGCATGATGTCAACTCACTATAACCTCTGTCTCCTGGGTTCAAGTGATTCTCGGTCTCAGCTTCCCAAGTCCCTGGGATCACAGGCGTTATGGGGTATCACCATGTTGGCCAGGCTGGTCTTGAACTCCTGGCCTCAAGCAATCCACCCTCCTTGGCCTCCCAAAGTGCTGGGATTACAGGCATGAGCCACTGTGCCTGACCTAATTTTTGTATTTTTAGTAGAGATGGGGTTTTACCATGATGGCCAGGGTGGTCTGGAACTCCTGGCCTCACGCAATCCACCCTCCTTGGCCTCTCAAAGTGCTGGGATTACAGGTGTGAGCCACTTCGCCCAGCCTTAATAATTTTTTTTTTTTTTTTTGAGATGGCATCTCACTCAGCCACCCAGGCTGGAATACAGTGGCGCAATCTCGGCTCACTGTAACCACCATCTCCCAGGTTCAAGTGATTCTCCCATCTCAGCCTCCTGAGTAGCTGGGATTACAGGCACCCGCCATCATGCCTGGCTACTTTTGTATTTTAGTAGAGATGGGGTTGCACCATATTGGCCAAGCTGGTCTTGAACTCCTGACCTTACATGATCCACCCGCCTCAGCCTCCCAAAGTGCTGGGATTACAGGCATGAGCCACAGCATCCAGCTTATTCATAATTTAAACAACCAGTTTGTGGTTTTATTTTAGTTAGTGCTCACAGGTATTCCTTTTCTAATTTCATTAGTTTCTGATCTTAGCTGTACTAATTTTCTTCATACTTCCTTTAAGTCTCCTGATAGTCCTCTGAAAGATAGTCTTTCCGGCTGGGCAAGATGGCTCACGCCTGTAATTCAGCACTTTGGAAGGCCGAGGTGGGCAGATCACGAGGTCAGGAGATCGAGACCATCCTGGCCAATATGAAACCCTGTCTCTACTAAAAATAAAAAAAAATTAGCTGGGCATGGTGGCGTGTGCCCAGCTATTCAGGAGGCTGAGGCAGGAGAAATGCTCGAACCCCGGAGGTGGAGATTGCAGTGAGCCGAGATTGTGTCACTGCACTACAGCCTGGGCAACAGTGTGAGACACCATCTCAAAAAAAAAAAAAAAAAAAAGAAAAGAAAGTCTTTCCACCCTATAACCCACAGACACATTGTACCCACAATCTAAAACGCCCCTAGTTCTGTCTCTTTCTCCAGATTATTCTTAGCAACCAACCTTGATCTTAATCTGCTTTTCCGATAGCCCTGGGAAGTGCTGTGAGGACAAATAATTTCTCCTTTCAGATCTCCTCACCACCCACCATGCCTAGCATTGCACAACTCTCAGGCCAAGGTAAGACAGGCTACTAGGACTCACCGGGTAGACAAGGAGGTAGGGTCCAGGGTCCAGATGAGAATGCAGCTCTGGCAGGCCACAGCCAAGACAGAGGCACTGAGGGGCTTCCAGGCCAGAGCTGCCACATTTCGCTGCAGCCGGTGCTTCAGGGAGGGGACTATGGTGCTAGGGTAAAGGGGTAGGGAACTGAGTCAAGGCAAGAACACCAAGGCTCCAAGGCCTGGAGTGCAGTTAAGGAGAGAAAGCCACAGAGAAGAAAAAGGATCCATCCAGGGCCCAGGGGCATTATGGGGCAGGAGGGGATAAAGTTTAGGTCTAGAAAGAGCACACATCCAGTTATAGAGCTTGCCTGACCCCAGTTCTGGAAGGAGCCCTATGAATCAGGTTCAAGAACTATAGGACTCCCTGGGACCAAGGCTGGCAAGCAAAGGTTGTATTGACAAGTCAGAGCCCACCTGGTATGCCCCACACACCTGCTGGCGTTATACACACGGACTGAGTCATCTAGTAGGGCCACTGCAAACTTGTTGGTGTGAGGGTGCCATGCAAAGACACGCAAGCAGCAGCTGGACCTAAGGAAGGAGTTAACATAAAGAGTCCTGCACCTACCCCAGCCATGCCCAGAAGCTCACATTCACTTCCAGTAAGGACGTGGTTTTTTTCTACTTTTTCTTTTATTCTTTTTGGGGGGAACAGGAGGAATGAGAATATGGGGAGTAATCAGGAAACGAGTAGGAGTCTTTGCCTTCTCCCCAGAAGAAGTTTCAAGGTTCAGGACTTCCTTCCCACAGAGCTCCAGGGACTGTGCACTCACCAATTTGTGACTTGGGCAAATTCAGCAATCAGATCTTCACTCCTGAGCTGTAAGAACAAAGCAGACAGAGGACACACTGGGGCAAAAGGAGCTCATCCCCTCACTGTTCCTACCGGGGAGCTAGACCACGCCTACCCTCTGAAGTCATCACACCCAACCCTGATCTGCAGGGATAGGAATGGGGGCAGAGCAGGATGGGGACGCAGCAACTGCAGAGGGCTGGGGAGGAAGCCAAACTTACAGACAGATGGGGGAACAGGGACCCATGGAGGGACGAGGCCCATCGACAGAGTGCCAGGGCCCAGCCGGATGCCGTCTTCACCCACTCAAACACTGTGGGGTTGAGGAAGCAGCTCTGATTAAAGCATTCACAGGGTTCTCACCAGAAGCCCTCTAGGTGAAAGACAAGGAAGGACAGCCAGCCACTCCCCAGGTCCTTCTGCCCAGTAAGCGCTCCCAACACCTCACTCTGCACACCCACTCTGGGTTATTTGGGTAGGTAGGAGAGAAGAGAACAGGAAAAATAGGGCTAAAAGGAAAGAGTCTGGGCCAACAGGTGTTGGGGTGAGTTCAATAATATGGAGGGGAGATAACCACAAAACTAGGGAAGGCTGGAGGGAAAAATACTTACCCTCTTCTTCTGAGTTTGCAATTTCATTTAGTACCCCAAAAAGGCCCACATCACGCCTGATAAGGGAGGAAAATGTGAGTCAGATGACTCTAATCCCCTCTGTCCCCTCTACAAGTTTCATTCATTCATTCAATATACATGTATTAAAAATATGGGCACTCACATTTAAGGAGTGCCAACTATGTACCAGGCACTCTATATGTTGTCCTTTCATTTAAGTATCTCACAAATCTGAATGACATTCTACCCATTTATCTATGAGGCAACCAAGGCTCAGAGGACTTTTGGGGCTTTGTGAGCAGACCAAAGAGTTAGGACCTGCTCTAAGACAATGAATGGAAAGCCACAGAAGCATTTTAAGGAAAAGAATAAACAGATCACACAGCAGCATTTTAGAAAGGGCAGTCTGGCTGCAGATTAGGGAATGATAAGAATAAGGGCCGACATGAGGCTCATGCTAATCCCAGCACTTTGGGAGACCGAGGCGGGCGGATCACAAGGTCAGGAGATCGAGACCATCATGGCCAACATGGTGAAACCCCATCTCCACTAAAAATACAAAAATTAGCTGGGTGTGGTGGCATGCGCCTCTAGTTCCAGCTATTCGAGAAGCTGAGACAGGAGAATTGTTTGAACCTGGGAGGCAGAGGTTGCAGTGAGCCGAGATCGCACCATTGCAATCCAGCCTGGACAAGAGTGAGACTCCATCTCCCTCTCTCTCTCTCTCTCCCTCTCTCTCTCTCCCTCTCTCTCTCTCTCTCTCTCTCTCTCTCTCTCTCTCTCTCACACACACACACACACACACACGAAAAAAGAACAGAAAAAGTCCAGGTGCAGTGGCTCACTTTGGGAGGCCAAGGCAGGTGGATCACCTGAGCTCAGGAGCTCAGAGACCAGCCTAAGCAACATAGAAAACCCCATCTCTACAAAAAAAATACAAAATTAGCCAGGTGTGATGGCCCACGCCTGTGGTCCCGGCTACTTGGGAGGCTGAGGAGGGAGCACTGCTTGAGCCCTGGGGGCTGATGATGCAGTGAGCCGTGTTCCATGTTTGTGCCACTGCACTCCACACTGGGCAACAGAGCAAGACCCTGCCTGAAAAAAAAAAAAAGGCTGGGTGCAGTGGCTCACACCTGTAATCCCAGCACTTTGAGAGGCCCAGGCAGGTGGATCATGAGGTCAAGAGATCGAGACCATCCTGGCCAACATGGTGAAACCCCGTCTCTACTAAAAAATACAAAAATTAGCTGGGTGTGGTGGCACACACCTGTAGTCCCAGCTACTCAGGAGACTGAGGCAGGAGAATTGCTTGAACCCTGGAGGTGGAGGTTGCAGTGAGCTGAGATCGCGCCACTGGACTCCAGCCTGGTGCCTGGCAACAAAACAAGACTTTGCCTCAAAAAAAAAAAAAACAAAAAACAAAAATAAATCAGTTAAGAATCTACTTCAGGAAAAAGGTGAAAATGGCCTGAACTGGTGGGTATGAAGAAAAGAGACAGATTTGAGAGATTTAGGAAGTAGCATGAACAAGATGTGAAGACTAAACAGACATTAGTAAAGGGAAGAGCAATACAAGGGAAACGCCTAGGTAATAACAATATCAGCTAATATGCTTACAATGTGCCAGCTCTGGACTAGGTGCCTCACATGAACTAATCAAGCCATTATCACAATCCTACAAGACAGGTATTGTTATCACTGCATGTATTTTTATTTTATTGAGATGGAGTCTTGCTGTCACCCAGGCTAAAGTAGCATGATCATGGCTCACTGCAGCCTCAACCTTCTGGGCTCAGGCATTCCTGCCCCAGCCTCCTGAGCAGCTGGGACTACAGGCACACATCATCATGCCCAGCTAATTTGTAAATTTTTTGTAGAGGAGGGTTTCACTGTGCTTTTTTTTTTTTTTTTTTAAAAGACTAAGTCTCACTCTATTGCCCAGGCTGGAGTGCCATGGTGTGAACTCAGCTTACTGCAACCTCCACCTCCCAGGTTCAAGCAATTCTTGTGCCTCAGCCTCCTGAGTAATTAGGATTACAGGTGGGTACCACTATGCCCGGCTAATTTTTTTATTTTTAGTAGACACAGAGTTTTATCACGTTGGCCAGGCTGGTCTCCAACTCCTGACCTCAGGTGATCCACTCGCCTCAGCCTCCCAAAGTGCTGGGATTACAGGTATGAGCCTCCGTGCCCAGCCTATCATTGCATTTTTAGATGAGAGAAAAGGTGTGAAGACGTTAATTAATATGAACAAGGTAATCTCAGTAGAAAGCAGCACAGTCAGGAGTCAACCATCTATCTCCCGCAGAACCTACACTCAAACCACTTGTTCCTAAATGAGTAATATGGTCAATGGGAAGTAGGTTTGGAGACAGAAATAAAGAGACTGGATTTGAGCATGCTGAATATATGACGCCTGTGAAATATTCAAGCAGGATAATTTGGCAAACAAGTGAACACCCAGGTCTGATGCATTGACTGGAAATCTAGCCCCAGGAACACCAACATTTAAGGGACATCAGGAAGAGGAGCCACCAAAAAGCCTGACAAGCAGCAGCCGCAGAAGTAGGAGACAGGCAAGAGCCTGGGAATGAATGGCTTTTCAATAAACTGATGTTCAACTTCACTTACAGAGGCATGCACATTTAACTACACTAAAGTACCAAAGATCAACGTTTGACAGTACATGTGTTGGAAAACAGGCTCTCACATACTGCTGGTGGGACCATATACATGTACAATTTTGACAGAGGACTATTTGGAACACCTCATAAAATTACAGATGAACATACCCTCTGAGCCCAGCAACTTAATTTCTAGGAATTCATCCCTACTAACCCTTTTTTTTTTTTTGAGACAAAGTCTCACTCTGTGCAACTGCACTGGTGCAATCTTGGCTCACTGCAACCTCCACCTCCCAGGCTCAAGCAATCCTCATATACCTAAGCTTCCTGAGTTGGTGAGACTGGAGGCACACACCACCATACCTGGCTAATTTTTGCATTTTTCTTGTAGAGACAGGGTTTCACCATGTTCCCCAGGGTAGTCTGGAACTACTGAGTTCAAGCAATCTGCCTGCCTCAGCCTACCAAAGTGCTGGGATTACAGGCATGAGTCACTGTGCCTGGCATAACTAATCCTTGAAGGGATTAATATGTGCCATTAATAAGGCCAGGCCCGGTGGCTCACAGCTGTAATCCTGGCATTTTGGGAGGCCAAGGCGGGCAGATCAGGTGAGGTCAGGAGTTTGAGACCAGCCTGGCCAAAATGGTGAAACCCCATCTCTACAAAAAATACAAAAATTAGCCAGGCATGGTGGGGTGTGCCCATAGTCCCAGCTGCTCAGGTGGCCAAAGCAGGAGAATCACTTGAGCCCAGGAGGCAGAGGTTGCAGTGAGCCGAGATCACACCACTGCACTCTAGCCTGGGGGACGGTGCAAGACTCCATCTCATTAAAAAAAAAAAAAAAAAAGTGCCATTAATATGAAGCACTGTTCTCTCAGTACTTTATTAATTCACTTAATCATCACTTCAACATTGTAAGATAAGTTCCATATACAGATGAAGAAACTGAAAAACAAGGTGATTAAGTAACTTGCTCAAGGTCGCACAGCCAGAAAACGAGCCCAGGCCAGGCACAGTGGCTCATGCCTGTAATCCCAGCACTTTGGGAAGCCAAGGTGGGCAGATCACAAGGTCAGGAGATCGAGAACATGTGGCCAACATGGTGAAACCCCATCTCTACTAAAATACAAAAAATTAGCCAGGCATGGTGGCACGTGCCTGTAGTCCCAGCTACTCGGGAGGCTGAGGCAGGGGAATCACTTGAACCCGGGAGACAGAGGTTGCAGTTAAGTTGAGATGCACTCCAGCCTGGCAACAAAGCAAGACTCCATCTCAAAAAACAAAAGGACCCAGGGAGTGTGGCTCCACTCCTACACGTGCAAAGTGGATCACCTACATATGAGATTATTCAATGCAACCTTCTATCTAATCTTGCTGAGCTTCAGGTAAAAGCTCAGAAGTGGTAATGATATGGGGTAGGGGCAGAGAGCAGGTTCACCTAATCAAGCCAGGAAGCAAAGCAAGTAACTAGAGATGAAATGGAAGTACTTTTTCCATAGTGTTCCTGGGAAGGACAAGGAAGGAAAACTGATATTTATTGAGCGTTTGAGTTCTACAATAAGGACCAGTAATTTCATATGATTTAGCATATACAGTTCTCATGGAGAGAGAGCCTGAATAAAAGTCTTTTGGAGAACACCCCAAGGTAAAGGGGTGGTGACTCATTTTCCAGGATCTGCAGACTATGACCCAGGAAACCCTTTGCCATGCCTCACCAAATGCTGATGCATCTCTTCCACACTTGCTCCCGGTGATGGATGAAGGCAGTTCTCGTGCCATGGTCCAGCCTTCCAGGGGTCTTTAGGGGATCCTTGGTCAGGTGTAGGATCGGAAGATTGATCCACTATAGCACAGAAGTGAGGGGTGTGACAGTGAGTCAGTCTCCTCCCAAATCTTTAATTCCTTGCTATCTCCACCCACCGCTGAGCTACGTATGAGATTCCAGAGGCCTGTTTCCCATTTCCACAAAGCTAACACTTGTGAGAATGGGAAACAAGTCTTAGCTCCCGTATCTGTACAACTAGAATAATATTTCATAGGGTTGCTGTAATTATGAAACTGTATAACATTTTTAGAAAGCACCTGACTCAGTCTCTTTCTTACAAGGCAAACGCTCAATGTCAGTTTCCCTTCCTTGTCCTTCCCAGAAACACCATGGAAAAAGTTGCAGGTTGTAACGTCCTGATCCTCCCAAGATACTGTCCCCAGTTTTTAAAGAGCTCTCCTGCATCTTCACACTCCCTAGAAACTTTCTCATTCTCTCCATCCCCTCTAGGCCTCCTCCACAGCTGCTTAACCTCTTATACTCCAATCACAGTCCAAATAGATTCCAGCCCTTCTATTCTCTGCAGGGGCCAGGCTGCTTCCAGTCGGCGAGACTCTGCGACCCTGCGCCTGTCATACTGCTTTCCTTCCCCAGTTCTCCCCGACTCCGCCCCCATGCCTGTAGGTCCCCTCCCTCCTCGTCCTGGCCACCTGGCCCCGGAAGTCGGGAGGCGGGCTCTCATAGCTACTGCCCGTCACCAGCTCGTTATTGTGCTCATATAGGGTGACTTGACCCCGAGGCGGTGGAGGAGGGAACAACCCCAGAGAGCACATCTTGCCGGTCCGCAGGACGTTTGGAGTCAGCAAACTCCCGGCCGAAACGGCACAGACCGCACTCCCACGACTCAGTTCCCGGGCTAGATTCGTATGCGGACGGGTAGCCGCAAGGGACAAACGGCGAGGCTGCGCTCAACGGAAGTGAAGGAAAGACTAACGGGAAAGAAGGACGCGTGCGTGGTCCGGGGACAGACCTCCAAAGCTTCCTCCACCGCCCCCTGGCGGCCGGAGGGGGAGCAGCGCGGATACGTACGTCCTCTGGCCAACCCCCGGTTACCGTCGGGAGCGGGGTTTTCTTGTTGTTTTCCATAAGACTATTACTACTGTTTTTTCCAGCTCCGAATTCCCCTACGCCTTCTGCCACTCACTCTCTTAGCGCTTAGAAAGCCTGAAATAAGCCACATTCAGGGAAGTACTAAATTAACCCTCCCAGGCCTGTGGATCACCCAGAAGAAAATACAGGCGTGTCACAGAAGGCAGGCTGGAAAGCTGAAGGAAAAGTCTTAGACAGGAGCAGTGCTGCACCCACAAGGTTAGGCGTCCTGGAAAGGGAGGTGGGGACGGTTGGAAAACTAACATTTCCTGGCCGGACGCGGTGGCTCACGCCTGTAATCCCAACACTTTGGAAGGCCGAGGTGGGTGGATCACCTGAAGGTCAGGAGTTCGAGACCAGCCTGGCCAACATGGTGAAACCCCCATCTCTACTAAAAATGCAAGAATTACCCGGCGTGGTGGCGGGCGCCTGTAATCCCAGCTACTCAGGAGGCTGAGGCAGGAGAATAGCTTGAACCCAGGAGGCGGAGGTTATAGTCAGCTGAGATAGCACCATTGCACTCCAGTCTGGGCAACAAGAGTGAAACTTCATCTCAAAAAAAAAAAAGAAAGGAAGAAAGGAAAACTAACATTTCCCTTATTTTAATTATTATTATTATTATTTTTTTTTTTGAGACAGTGTCTCACTCTATTGCCCAGGCCGAAGGCAGTGGCGGGATCTTGGCTAACTGCAACCTCTGGCTTCCAGGTTCAAGCGATTCTCCTGCCTCAACCTCCCAAGTAGCTGGGATTACAGGCATGCGCCACCACACCCAGCTTATTTTATATTTTTAGTAGAGACCAGGTTTTACCATGTTGGCCAGGCTGGTCTCAAACTCCTGATCACAAGTGATCCACCCGCCTCAGCCTCCCAAAGTGCTGGGATTACAGGCCTGAGCCACCTCGCCTGTCTGGAAAACTATTTCCTGAGCACTTATTACAATAAGTGCTTTTATAATCTTTATAACCCCGTAAGGTGTGTGCTTTTCTGTCACAAGGAAAGTAGTCACGGAGAGATTGGAACTAGATACACCCAAACCAGTTATTCTGACGAGAATAAAAGTGAGGGCTTGCATGGTGGCTCATGTCTGTAATTCCAGCACTTTGGGAGACAGAGGCTGATCTCTTTTTTTTTTTTTTTTTTTTTGAGACAGAGTTTCGCTCTTGTTACCCAGGCTGGAGTGCAATGGCGCGATCTCGGCTCACCGCAACCTCCGCCTCCTGGGTTCAGGCAATTCTCCTGCCTCAGCCTCCCGAGTAGCTGGGATTACAGGCATGCACCACCATGCCCAGCTAATTTTTTGTATTTTTAGTAGAGACGGGGTTTCACCGTGTTGACCAGGATGGTTTCGATCTCTTGACCTCGTGATCCACCCGCCTCAGCCTCCCAAAGTGCTGGGATTACAGGCGTGAGCCACCGCGCCCGGCCAGAGGCTGATCTCTTAAGGCCAGGAGTTAAAGATCAGCTTGGGCAACGGAGCAAAACCATGTGTCTACAAAAAATCAAAAGTTAGCCAGCATGGTGACAAGCGTCTGTAGTCCCAGATACTTGGAAGGCTGAGATGGGAGAATCAAGACTACAACGATCCAAGATTGCGCCACTGTACTCCAGCCAGACCTTGTCAAGCAAGCAAGCAAGAGAAAGAGAGACAGAGAGGGAAGGAGGGAGAGGCAGAGAGAGAGAGAGAAAGAAAGAAGAAAGGGAGGGAGGGAAGAAAGAAGGCAGGAAGGGAGGGAGAGAGAGAGAAAGAAGAAAGGGAGGAAGGAAGGAAAAAGAAGAAAGGGAGGAAGCAAGGGAGAAAGGAAGGAAGGAAGAAAAAGAAAGAATGGGGGCCCCTCTTACAGACTTTGTTAAAACCATTGAATTCTTTGAGTCTCCGCTTCCCTCATTTGCAGTGTCCTAATTACTTCATATGGTTGTTTTCCATAAAAATAATGGAAGTGAAGCTGTCTAATAAATTTTGAAGTGCTGAACAAATGTCAGAGGTTAATTGCTATAACTGTGCCATCAGCTAGCTGACCTTGGTCGGAGTTCATTAATAAATGTTAATAAGTGGTTTGAAGATGTATAAGGCAGTCCCCACTCCCAAGAGCTGCCAGTCTCATTGAATAATCTAGGGGGACATTCCAATTCTAGTATTCTGGATTACGTGTCCACCCTCTTTTCACCAGAAAAGTTCCCCCCAAGAGAGTTATTCCCAGGTCAGAAAACAAAGGGCTCCAGAGTCTCCTGAAAATGCACTTCACCTGAGAAGGCAGCTGGATCTCCTCTAATCTAGTACTTTTCAACTGTTAAGGGACATAAGAATCACCTGGGCATCTTCTAGGGTGGCGCTCAGAGGCTATATTTCCAAAGAATTCCCAGCTGATACTGCACAGACCACATTTTAAGTAGCAAGTCTCTAACCTAGCGTCCGCCAACCACAGACAGTTTTTCCATGGGGAGGTGGGGAGGAAGTGGTTTCAGTATGAAACTGTTACACCTGGGCCGGGTACGGTGGCTCACGCCTGTAATCTAAGCACTTGGGAGGCCAATGCAGGCGGATCACCTGAGGTCGGGAGTTCAAGACCAGCCTGACCAATATGGTGAAACCCCATCTTAAAAAAATATAAATAAATAAATAAATAATAAAGAAACTGTTACACCTGAGATCAGTTTTTTTTTTTTGTTTTTTTGGGTTTTTTTTTTTTTTTTTTTTTTTTTTTTTGAGACGGAGTTTCCCTCTTGTTACCCAGGCTGGAGTGCAATGGCGCGATCTCGGCTCACCGCAACCTCCGCCTCCTGGGTTCAGGCAATTCTCCTGCCTCAGCCTCCTGAGTAGCTGGGATTACAGGCACGCGCCACCATGCCCAGCTAATGTTTTGTATTTTTAGTAGAGACGGGGTTTCACCATGTTGACCAGGATGGTCTCGATCTCTTGACCTCGTGATCCACCTGCCTCGGCCTCCCAAAGTGCTGGGATTACAGGCTTGAGCCACCGTGCCCGGCCTGGGGTTCTTTTTCAAAAAAGGCAGATTCCTAGACTTCCACCCTAAACCTATTTTTAAGTAGCTCTTTCAAATGATTAGTCCTTAAACCCAGTTTAACTCACACCAAGAAGGCCGGGTGCAGTGGCTCACGCCTGTAATCCCAGCATTTTGGAAGGCCGAAGTGGGCAGATCACTTGAGGCCAGGAGTTTGAGACCAGCCTGGCCAACCTGGTGAAAACCTGTCTCTACTAAAAATACAAAAATTAGCTCAGCGTAGTGGTACATGCTTGTAGTCCCAGCTACTCAGAAGGCTGAGGCAGGAGAATCGCATGAACCCAGGAGGTGGAGGTTGCAGTGAGCGGAGATCACACTACTACACTCCAGCCTGGGCGAAAGAGCAAGATTTGGTCTCAAAAAACAAATTTAAAAAAACAACACCAAGAGAAGAAATTGGAGAAAAGAAAATTCCAGAAAGGGAGAAATTTCCTGGAAGGAAAAATCTATGTTACTCATCTTTGTAAACCAAGCTCTGGAGATTCTAATAGCTGTTTACTGCATTCAGCAACTATGGACACACGCCTAAACTTGCTTGGGGGTAGGGAGAGAAACTAACACTGTGGAGGAGTATTCTAAACATTTCACATATTTGTCTATTTCTACCAATTTAAGAGATAGTTGTCCGCTTTTACAGATGAGAAAACTGAGGCTCAAATACTTTGGTTAAATTATGACTGTTCTGTTTAGTGCCAGCTACTCGGGAGGCTGAGGCAGGAGAATCGCTTGAACCCAGGAGGCTGAGGTTGCAGCGAGCCCAGATCCCACCACTGCATTCCAGCCTGTCGACAGAGCAATACTTTGTCTCAAAAAAAAGAGAAAAAGAACTTCTAAAAAGAATTTTTAAAAAATGCGATCATATGGGCTGGGCATGGTAGCTCAGGCTTGTAATCCAAGCACTTTGGAGGCCAAGGTGGGCGGATCACCTGAGGTTGGGAGTTCAAGAACAGCCTGACCAACATGGTGAAACCCATCTTTTTCTTTTTTTTTTTTTTAATAAAAGGACGGGGTTTCACCATGTTGGTCAGGCTGGTCTTGAACTCCCGACCTCAGGTGATCCGCCCGCCTTGGCCTCCAAAGTGCTTGGATTACAGGGGTGAGCCACTACGCCCGGCCAAAACCCAACTTTATTAAAAAAAAAATGCGATCATATGATAGTTGTTTGACTTCAAAACAACTCGTATGAACATGAATTGTGTTTCGCTATGATGTGGCAAGCCTCATATGTACCAAATGGTAAAATGTTCCAGCATGGCAGTCAATGCTTTTAGTGATCCGCGCTGCACACATTCGGGCTCATCAGCCATTACTACTGTCCACTGCATTCTCTTGCCCTTTACTTTATTCTTTCTTGAAGTGCCCCCCTAAAATTCATGCTTTCTTGGGTCTCCTAGGAAAACCGAAAGTGATATGTCACAGCACTTTCAGAAACCGAGGTGGGAGGATAGCTTGAGCTCAGGAGTTCCAGTGGGTGACAGAGACCCTTCTCAAAAAAAAAAAAAAAAAATGTAGGCCAGCACAGTGGCTCATGCCTGTCATCCCAGCACTTTGGGAAGCTGAGGCAGGTGGATCACAAAGTCAGATGCTGGAGACCACCCTGGCCAACAGGGTAAAACCCTGTCTCTACTAAAAATACAAAAATTAGCCAGGCATGGTGGTGGCACATGCCTATGATCCTAGCTACTCAGGAGGCTGAGGCAGGCAAACTGCTTGAATCTGGGAGGCGGAGGTTGCAGTGAGCTGAGATTGTGCCACTGTACTGCAGCTTGGGGGACAGAGCAAGACTTGGTCTCAGGAAAAAAAAAAAAAGTACTGGTATTACAGCCCT